TCGTTTGCCCTCCAAACAGGAGGCCAAAGGCAGGAAGGGGAGACCAGTTATCCCAGCAGTCATTCAGTCTCCAGAGCTACGTTGGTCACCACTCACCACCTGGTGTCCACCCCCAACCACGTGGAAGTGAAATTGGAATTTTCCTTTCATTAAGAAAGAGATCTACAAGGCATATTTCTCTTTTCCTCCAGGGCTTCTAGAAACATTAAACAACAAAAATTCAATGCAGAATAAATAAAAACTACCAATTTTATACAATTTTATTCAGTGAGATTTTACAAATACAAAACAGGCAATATAACGAGTATCAATCTTTTAATTTACAAAGACCCAACTGTTCAAAAAAATAACCCAAACTTTCTCTTGGAAATATGTTTCAAAAATACATTTTAAACATTCGAAATAGACACCAAAAACTATTTAGTTAAGAAAGTCTATTCCTAAAAGGCACAATTTTTTTTTCTCTATACAAACATTTTTGCATAAACATAAATATTTTTCATCGTGGATGGGTGAACAAAGTTAGGGAGGTAAATATAACTTCACATTTTTAACTTGAACAGGATTATTGTTCAAAATGTATTACTTCATTTCATTTCACTTGGAGGCACTTTTTACTATCTCATCAGTTTGGATTCTTTATTTACTACTACACTATTTAACAACAAATGGTACATTATTTTTAAACCTTTTAATAAGTTTTCTAATTATTGCAAATATAAATAAATATAGTTGGTCACATTTTCTCATAATTTTTCAGAAATTATTTTTCAGTTTTAGAGATTCATTCTTATTTTTTCGGGTTAGGAAGACAAATGACATTTCATAAAATGCACTTGTATACTAATAAGTGTAACTGAAAATTTTGTGAAAATTACATGTATGTTTTGTTAAACGTTCAAAAACATCATGTGAATTTGCATGGAGCTTGGTAAAACATACCATTATGTGTATTACAAACAATTTCAAGTCAATTAATCCTCCACCTTTTCAATACATTCATAATTAACTAAAATGTAGCTCATCTTGGATGATTGGATAATGAGCTTATTGAACACCAAGCTCACAACCAACTTGCTGGAGTCGGGCATTTTTATTCATCTAAGCTTAACATTTCTTCCCTACCCCAAATAACAATTAATTGTCACATGATTTCCTCAGTAAAATTATAATCTGGCACACATGCCTCTGTCTTGAAGTATGTTAAAAAGATTATCAAACTTGTCTATGTGCTAATAACATTCAGTTTTATTACAAGTTTCAATACCTATGAAGTGCAATTTTGGGATCATTAAAATACTTTCCCTGCAACAAAATGTACTTTTATAACATTATTAATGTTGCTGTGAACATGTTAATAGTATTTGGAAATACATGAATTATCCATGAAAAACAATTCACTTCTTTTATACCATAAACATACAGAATATAATTCTATAGGAATGAACAATGTGTTTTAGTATCAATTTGAAGCATACTTATTTCTATTTCATATATTTGGTTCAAACATACTACACATTTTGCTTCAGTAGCAATAAAATTAAATTTAGTTTTCAACTAACAAATTTTATCTCTATCTTTATCTTTACAAAATTATTGTCAAATCTTACACTTCATAAGAAAACACAGAAATTTGTTTGTACAGATTAAACCACTGCACCCAAAGATTTTTAAAATTTCTTTTATTGTTGTAGTTATTATTATTAATGATTTTATTATTTTTATTAGTGTTAAGTATTGTCAGTATTATTTTCGTTACAATTACTATTAAATTTATTTCACATTAATTCACAAAATACTTTAATATATTTGTAAATAGGACAATATATGTATAAAGACAACTTCAAAAATATTTATATTAAACCCATCCCATCACAGGCACTTCAATTCACCCTTCAGACATTTTCACTATTACACATTATAAAAGCTATATGAAATCATCTGTTCTAATACAAAATGCCCACTAGTTGTTTCAATATGATTTTCCTGTATTTTTCGGTTATCTTGGCCTTAAATTTAGCAGTCTGTGTTACTGAAGAAAGGCTCAAGAATATTTATCACTGTAAAAAATGGTTATAAATTAAAAGAACATACCTAAATAGTTTCATTTTTTACCTTTATGCCTTATTAGTGTGTCAAAATATACAATCGTTATGAGCAATCTCTAATAATTGGCATCTGTGCTTATGCATATAAATAACTACACATAGCATTTTAAAAGGAACATCACTCTTTTTGTACTTCTCATTGCATGTAACCAATGTCACATTAACACATATCACGTTTTCTTTTTTTCTGGGCAGTCCTACATCAAATGCTTGTATTTTGGCATGACAAGACATTTCCCCAAGTTTTTCTGCACTTTCATTACTGAGTTTTCCAGATTTTATGTTTTGCTCAGGTCATTCAGTAATAGAGCAGTTCTTTGTCATCCCTTATTCAGGTTGGTCCTTCATTCCAAAGGCCAACAGATTTAAAACAATAATCTTAAGGTCACTGAAGAGACCAATCACACGAAAGCAATATTTTACATCTCAAATTTCATTAACAGGAAGTTGTCACAAATTTCTAACACTGAAACAATCCTGTATGTTTTCTTATAAATGTTCACATTTTTGTTAAATAAGTACAATAGAAAATACATTAAATTTTAGGTTCATTTCCCAAAATTTAAAACTACATTTAGGTAAAAATTTTGGCCTGTTATAGCATATTAAATACTGGGACATTATCATAAAATCACAAGAATTTACTTGAGTCCAGAATTTGAATTTTAAATCCAACCTTCTGGCATGCATGCAAGTTTTCGAAACATCAGTGGCTGCATCATTGTACATGCACAACAATGCTGGAGTTATCTCCTTAATGAGGATGCAGTTGTTTTAGATATAAATTATGTTCTTTCTATTTGTTTCAAGTTTTAGAACTCTCAGTTTTACTTGATATTTCAATTTTGTCTCTTCTCACAAAATTATTTGAAGGTGCTTGATCATCATCATCATCATCAACAACACCGTCACCACTGTCAAATCTTATTGTTCTATATCACCACAGTGATCACTTTCTATATAATTTTCCTTACCAAAATCATCATCACTTTAGTCACATAGATTCATCACAAAGATCATTCGTCACTAAGAATCCTTCAATAACTCACAAACCAAACTCAGTTCGATACAGAAACTTAAAAGATACTCACCTACGAGATTCCAATAACCAGTTTGTTAATACTGAATAAATAAAATTAAGATTTGATTGTTCTGCATATGCTAATATAAATTAAATTAATTTTATATACTTAAATTTTACTTTCAAAAAATAAAATATTATTGTACAAAGCTAAACCAATGAATTGGCCATCAAATGGATTCATTCAAGCAATCGAACCCATATTCTCTAGTTCCCAACTTCTATAAATGTTTATAAGAGCTACTTGAAATAAATATAATAATTTTCAATCATTGTATTGTAATTTCCAAATAGAAAGAAACATCAGCAGTCACATGTTGAACTTTTTTCAACTTTCACACTTTACAACTAATTAAAGTCCTACAGAAACAGATTTTGACCAAGGTAATAAGAGAAAATGCCAACAATGGAAGAGAGAGCATTAAAAAGATAAACAAATTTCTCTTTAAGAGTATTTTTATAATTGCATCTCCTGAAGGGTAAAAAGAAGTACAAGCTGATTAACAGTAATGCTATTGGATTGTAATGCTATTGGCTAAGGCTATTGGATTTTTACAATACTATGTGGAAATACTCAAATGATTCCAATGAAATCTATTTTATTTGCCACTGAGGCATTAAAACCTGCCCTTTTTGTGTCAATTAATTTTATAGAGAAATAGAATGGTCATGGATCCACATTAGATATATTAGGGATAAATTAAAAACTTAGGAAGAAGACCTTTTGAAAATTACACTAATTATTTTAACCAGATAGATTGTGTAAGAGAGTAAACACCTTAAAATAATATTTATTTTCTACATAATATTTCTGCAATAAGCTAATACAATTTCTATGAGCTCTTTTGTGAAGCTAGTGAAAAATATTTCACAAACGCAACGCTGTTTTATGAAAATGAAATCTTCTCCTGATACAATATAATTACTTCACTTCATGCTTGTTGCTTTGAAAGACATGTGATGACACCATCAATGGGCTCCGAAGGATCACAGAGAGCAGACATATTTCCAATGTTGCCAATGTTACCATGTACTCAGCTTCACTAATATGATCAGAGGCATTTCCTTTAGTGTTGGAAAATATTTCCTTGTCACTCATGGCACTGAATCGGTTATCTTGAGAAATTAGTTTTTCTCTGAATTGTGGGTACAACTGTACCAACCAACTGTGCACAGTTGGCTCTATCCACATCGAGCCAGCAAGCACAAAATAAATTATAGAAGAACATGTGATATGGTTTGCTGTAATGTTTCTGGTTGAAATATAGAATCTAGTTGAAGAGTTAATACTGAACTTAAGCATTACCCATGTAATTATCATCCAGTAAAAAGAATGTTTCTTAACTCATGTTACCAAATGCACATTGGACGGAATTATTCATCTTGGCTACATACAATTTTATAAGTCATGACTAGACATCGGAAGCTGAAGAATTTTATACTCTATGACAAAAACATTGAAAATTAATTATGAACTCATTTCATGTCTTAACAATAAAATAACCACATTTTTTAGAGACTAAAAATGAACTTATCATTAGACCTAAAATACCAGTTCAGTTAATTAAAGTTGTGAAAAACAAACTTTAACAGTACTTGCATAGAAAATAAGGTTGAAGTTAAAATCTCCATAAATAAAAATCTTGGATTGTCTGCACTATGCATCAAAAGACAATTAATTCACACCTCGTTCTAAATTAAAGCATGCAAATGATAAAATACATTATATAAATATATTTATTTTATACAGGGAAAATAGATAATTTTCTCCTTATAAAATTATTCCCAGTGCAAAACTCATAATATTTTATCATTTACATTTCTATATTCCTTGTAATATTTCATGGTAAACATTTTAATAAAAGTTTGAAATAAAATAAAATTTATGTTTAAAAAATTGTTTTAAGTCGATATCTATTGCCCATTTAATAAATTATACTTATTTTCTTATTAAGCCTATTTTTGCACCCTTTATTTAGACCTTTCTACATCAAAGGCCTAAAACATGATATTTTCGAGCTTAAATATCTGATGTCTAGTCATGTTTCATTTATTTAATTTACAACTTGAAAACCAAGATGATTCACACTTTGTTGCAAAAACATATTCAAAGGAAACATTATGGCAAGAAATAAATGCATTTCCTTCTGGATATTTTTCCCTTACAAACACACTATTACTAACGATATCCACTTTAAGTAGAAGCCATTTCTTTCCTTTTCACAGGGAATTCAATATCTTACTTCATCGCTGTGTTGGACCATCTTCCAGCTTTCGCCATACAACCTAATCACAAGAAAAATATATATTAAAAATCAATTATTCGTAATAGCTATTGATTAAATAAGCAATAAGAAATAGTTCAAACAAAAAACTGAATTCATATATGCAGGCATACATATAACCACATTCAGTAGAACTTCTGTAAAGCTGAGAATTGACAGTTCTATTAAAAATTTTGTTAGGTAGGGTTTCCACAATGCAAAACGGCTACAACAAATTTAACAAAATTTAGCACATTTAGCAGAGCTCATTGAAAAAGTTTTAAATGACCAAAATGCTAAACGGTTGTAGTAAAAGTTCCAGTATAATAATATAAATAAAAAAACTTCCATTACGATGAGAGTGAGTAGAAAAAGAAAAATATGATCTCTCTTTATCACCATAAAATGTGTTACTGACTGCAAGAAAAAGCGCTGTATGAAGGATGAACTCATTGGAGTATTCTTTAAAGTTTTAAATAGCCACAACAGACCACGAAAAGAGGAGATTGATTGGAGTTTCATTGGTCATGGTGAATAGTGATCACATGGTTTTATGGGCATTTAAACCAGTTTCAAACTAATGATGGCACAACAGCACATACTTCTTGTAATATTATACTGTAATGTTATATCTTAATTTCTGCCTTTCTTATACTTCAAACATCACTTTATCCCATAAATAAAGAAAGCGTGAAAAATAGATTTTTTTATATTCAAAATTTAAATGAATGAAATGAAAATATATTTCTAGCATTGAATTCGGTGTTGAGGTTAAGTGTGGTCAGTGTATAATATTCAGTGTTTTCACAAACATATCCGATGTGTATTTTAGGTTCTACATTTTCTGCCTAAGCACTATAAGAAAAAGTTAAATAACGAAAAGTTAATAAATAATAGGATCCGCCGGTGGCGGCTGCTTTCACTCAAGCAAATTGTTGCCAGCAATGCTTTAAAGCAACAATGGGAGTTCATTTAGGACATTCATTTTACAACGCAGTAACACTGATAGCTTTTGCTAGCAAATGCAAATACTTCGAAAATATATAACACTAATTATTTACTACTACAGTACTGTAATATTCACCAAATCTGCTCCTTTTTACACGGATTACGCATTACTCCTTGTCTGAGCATATAACGCTTAATGCTTCATACATTTTCACATAAAAAATTTCCCTAAATTCTTATTACTAATCAAAGAACAAATGCTCCATTTATATCTTTTGACTTTAAATAAAAAATTCACCATTTTCCGGCAAACGATTACATAACTTTCTACTACTAAGGAACTTCGAAGGTCAGAAATCAGAAATGAAAGTTGTTCTGAGAGGCTAACATAAAAAGGGTTGTAATTTAGAAAAGTTTCACAACATTCTTCAGTTAAAACTAGTAGAAGTTTTAGAAAGTAGAAAGGATATCACCAAGCTATGAAGCCAAGCTGTAAGAATTAAGTGCAATTTTAGTGTTTAGGTGATTGAGACACATGCCAACATTTGATCTTTATTAGGAGCTACAAGAAAATTAAGAATCCCCTGATGAAGTTCCACATTGCGGGTACAATACAGTGTTTTAAGCGTGTTAACACCAGGACTACATTTTATATAACATAAACAGCAGACAACCAGGGCAAAAATAAAAAGAATCAATGTGCAATATGCAATGCGGCTCACAATGGAATGTCACATTGCATTATCAGTTGTTACAGGTCAAGCCCTTCAGTTCTCCTTACTCTTTTCCTGTTAATCACCTTTTACAAAAATTGTATTACTTGTCACTTCCTCTGGCGCTTTGCGATAGTTGATACAGTAGAAGATTAAATAGAGCATCTTCCAAAACGATATTTCCCCGCTTTGGTAGCGTATGTAACCCTGTTTCTAAATCAATAAAGGTAAGCAATTCATTTAGCTTTTATAACAAAGGCAGATTTTTGGTCATAAGCACTTTACCATTGTTAGCAATAAAGGCGACACACAAATTGTCTTTTGATTGTTGTTTAGGTTTGAAGCTTTATTGTGTTTTGTTTACGCAAAAAATAGTAAAACAGTTTGCCATGTTATGAGATAAACATTTTGTACCATCTTATGTGAAAGCCAAAAACGCTTTTCAAAAAACATCAGTTAGAAGTAGAGGTCTGATGGCATGCTGACTTGTACCGCTCTTTTGACACTTCACATAATGAGACTTAAATAAGATTATGCGTCGCTGAAGTGTTGTGTTTTTAAAGATATTTAATATCGTGGATACTTTTTAAAGTTGGGGACCGGATAAAAGTGGCCCTTCTATAAAAGATTACACGATATTAATTTTACAAAGGGGGCCGGATAAAAGTTTTGCAGGTGGTCCCACACTCAATTCATTACACTTTTGCAGAGACCCCGTCATTTAGCAGATTAAACACAGGAGAGACGAGAGAATATGGTACCCTAGGGGCAGTTATCTCAAGATAAGTAAAAAGTGCCTTACCGAGCTCATGGGGTATTTTGAAAAAGTAATTTTAATATTTTTTTCATGCCATTTTACAAATTTAGGTAAAATATTAATACAGAATTTGACGCTTCTGACTATTAATACATTAAACCTTGTTTTTTTGGCTATTAAAATCATGAAAGACTAGCTTCGCATACCTGCACACTCAAAGAAATTTTAATTTTTGTTCGCAAAGAAGAGCTTAATTTCTTGGATGCCATTATTTGATGTTTGGTGCAAAAGCTCCACAGAGGCAAAGTATGACACTGCACTTTCGTATGTTTTACATGAATTGGAGGAATAAATTATTAGAAACACTTCAATAACTGCGATAATAACTCAAATTAGCAGTTTTTTTCAGTTTATTATCAAAACATGGAGAAAATATGCGAGGTATAAACAGTGTTTTATAGATAAATAACACATCATGACTTCAGAAAGACATCAAATTTTATACAAGTTCTTTGAAAATTGCTTCAAGCACTTCAAAAGCAGATTATGTGAGTATAGTGATTAGCCATCCACTTAAGCCTTTTTATTAGTGTGGTCCTAAAGTTAAAAAACAGGAAGTGAAACAAGCTGTTAAATTCATTCCCTGAAAAACTGGGAACACCCACTACAATAAAATGAAGAAAAGGAGGTAAAAGACATTCTGCTTACTTATACTAAAAGAACTTCCAATTGCTTCTCTTAACAAATTTACAACAATTAAGAAAGGGGCGCAGTTTGTTCCATCAAGAACCATCTTTAAAACTCCGTCACTTACACGGCGATTCATAACAGGAGTACTTGCGCGCTGGACTACGTCCAACGTCCGCATTATTTAGTTTGCTACGTCTTTTAATATTTACGTTTTGCATAATAATGAAGAGAAATGCATAATCATAACATTTAAAATATTAAACACTCTCATATTGCAGAAAAAAGATTTTGAGCAAGTATGCAAAAACCAGCGTTCCACATGCCAGTACTTGCATGTTGGATTCAGTCAAACAGGCACAAAATCCAATCATCTAATACAGCATGTAATAAATCCCAAGTTATTTAAAAATTTGAGTAATATATTTTACATGCGGGCTCAATTACTGAATCGCTGTGGCCTTCAGTTCACAAATATTTAATTTTTAAAAATTTGTATTATTCAATAAGCCGAAGTATCGTTACAGTGTAGTGCATGTTTTATCTGATCACCATTATTTGCTATTTTTGAAAATATTTTTCTCAAAATATTGAATGGGCTTCATATTTAATTGTTCATTCAATTGAACATAAACATGGAAAATATTTGTTTTGGAGCTTGTCGTTTTGGACTTTATTACTGTACTTAAATACACGTGTGTACTTTCAAAAAAATTTAGTGCTAAAAATTTTATATACAGTTCTACACCCATTATGTTCCTCATTACTGTATTACTTACTTTCATGAATGTTCCTATCATTAAATTCAATTCCCCAGTTGCTGTTACAACAATGTGTTGCTAAGAGGTTCATTCAATTGCATTTTTTTTGGTTACGGATCTAATTTTTGTGAAAATCTTTTGTGTTCTATGGCAAAATATTGATTCTGAGAAGGTAATGTTTTTGCATATAATGTATATTTTAAAGGTTTTGGGGATAAAAAAGGAATTATAAAATATTCTTTGATTTTTAACCTGAAAGAGAATGTTTTTCAAGTAACCATTATTAGCAAAGAAAAATTTGTTTGCCGCACTGAATAAATATAGAATGACTTGATAAAATGAGACAATGACACTGAAATGAAAAATACATTCCCTGCCTTTCAGAAAATGTATTAGCACAAACATGTCAAAATACAAATATGCACCCAACATATCATGTGATGTGGAATAGTCTTTTTCGAAATACAAAATAGTGTCTGATAGAAAGCACTTCCTAAGACAGATAATCTTAACATGATTGTATGGTATTCTGTGATCTTAAAGAAAAAAATGTGTACAAAAGTAGAGTAGTAAAGTAGACAATCTATTTTTAAACGTATAGATTTTCTCTTGATGGCAAAGAGATGTGAATTCCGTTACAAAATGTTTTTTTTACCCAACCAATGTAATTTTTAGCACTTCTGTGTATATTTCAAATATTTTTTGAGGACACATGCATGCCTTTTTAGGAGTAAAAGCTTGCAAAAACCTCCCAGCCCTAATTTAATCATTATAACTTCAACATGTATTTTTTGAAGAGAAACATGAACACTTATGTAGGTATATAAACTACAAACAAGGTAGGCTGTTCCAAAATATTGGACAATGCATATCTTAAAAATGTAATTAACAAACAATCTGCAACAATGATCTGCTCAATAGCTAAATTGGATAAAAAACAGACACATTACTAAAGACACAAAATCACATTTTACATTGGTACTGATCCATGGCACAACAATTATTAACTACAAAAAATGTGATAACCTGCCTCAAATTACTAAAACCAAATTTAAAAAAAAATGCAGTTCCTTAAACTTCTAAATAAAAAAAAAAGTGGTGATTGTGATTATGATTATAAACACACAAAAAATTCAAAACGGTATAAAGTAATCAGAAATATATATTTACTACAAACAGTCAAAACTGCTAGATAAATACCATTGTCCAAAAGAGTTCATACAGTCCTACCAGCATGTTTAACAGTCTGAATAGTGTCATTCAATTCACTAAAATATACGGTTTTCATTAAGAATTTTCAAAAATAACGACTTTACTGTTTTCTCACAAAAAAAAAAAAACATGTAAAGATAAGCAACTTACATTACACATTTCTCTTACAAGTGCCTTCTCATCATCATCAAGATCAACTGATGCCAAATCCATATCGAGGTTATCTGACATTCCATTCCCCGTCTCCATCCGTTCCAACTGTTCGCGCACTTCCAGCACTTGCAAAGCTTGCACCACAGCCTCTGGTCGGCCAGAGCAGGCTCCCAACTGTTAACAATTTTTTATATTTTTCCACAGAAAGAAACTTCAATCAAATTCAATTTACTTCAATGCACATGATTTAATTTTCATTTTATTGTAAAGCCTTACTTCATTTTCCCATCCAGGATTTACTCTATGATCATTGCTTGAAATTGTCTCTCCAGTCTGACTTAATTTATGTTGTAAAATTTTTTTTTCATCTTCAAGCTGTTTCATTCGCTGTTCCAAACTCCTTACATAATGCATCATTTGAACTGAAACACATACAAAATAAACATACCGTAAGATGAATAAGACCACCCATGAAGAAAATTTTATTCACATAAAATTGCAATAACTAAAATCTACATGCGTGAATAAAATATGGTGAATAATACATAAGTGAATAAAAAACAAAACAGATAAACAATACTAGATAATTTTTTGGCCTAATGCTGCAAGATTAAACAGAGCAATGCAAGGTTTTATGTGATACATTATATCTCATAAATTAAGCTCATGGTTTAATAAGAAATAACATTGCCATATATAAGGTTCATTATTGTCTTTACATCAAAAAATAAATAAGGAATTGAAGAGACAAAAAAAATAAATTGTTTTCTCCCAATTTCTAGCCTGAAATTTGAAGGTAAGCTAAAGAAGAAAAACTTGCTTGTGATGTAAGGAAAGATTTTCCTTTTGGTCAGACTTTTCAGATAAACATTTTATGTAACATTAATGTTCACTTCTTGTATGTGTATAAATGTTCACTTCTTTTCAATTCACTTTTAGCAATAGAAGCTCTTCAAAAATGTTATTTAAGTGTGATGATTTATTAAAAATTGTTATTGAGTCATTTATAATACTTTCCTATCACAGAATATCAAAAACTCACTAATTTAGCTAATATTTTACTTAAAAATATAATTAAAGTGAAAACAATTTTTCTGAATTAACGCAAAATGCAATTTTAAATTTCATAATATTAACAGTACTTGTTTATTGTATTGCTAAAACACATTAGGATTCTGTTTTGTTAATGTTTTTTTCATGCTAACTTAACTACACTTGAAATGTATTCAGAAAAGTTCTCTAGTATGAATTAAGGAATGCATGTTTTATTGCGTTTTGAAAGATGATTATAAATGCATCAACATAATTATTAAAACGGTATATCAATACTTGACTGTTATTTAAATATGGAGAAAACTGATGAATTTCACAATTGATCTTTCCATCATGCATAATCACCAAAACCCAAAGTCCATCAAATGTTACCATCAAAACCCAAAATATATTTAAATCATTATTACCCAGTGAAAACTACACTACTATACTGTTCAGAACTGAACCATCAATATAGAGTACTGTGACCATTATCTACGACTGCTTGCAGCCAAAAGTTTTTCACTGGTGAAACCACCCAATACCAAGCCCAGTAGTGAGTGGAACAAAACAAACACAAATTACTTGTATATTCAGGTAAAAATGAGCATTAAAAAAATGTCATAACTTTTCAAAAAATAATCTATTTTTGATGGTTGAGTTTTCGTTTTAAAGGAAATTGTTCATACTTTCAAAGCCTATTTACAGATTTATCAAATCTTAGTGAAATAAGTTAAAAGCAACTTTTAAAATTCATAGCATTCATACTTTGACATCATAGTGCTGAATTAAATTTTCATCTCAACTGTCTACTCATCCATCAACCAGGAAAAAATAATCAATTCTGAATGAAAATTGTAGAAAGTTACTAATTTGAATTTGGCCCATTTTTTTCTTTAAGTTGTAAGTGGCTGGTTTGTTTTTAAATGGGATAATTTTAACGAAGTTCTTTTAAGTCAGAGAACATTTCCTAGTCAGAACTCGAATTCTCCCTTCCAATCTTGGAGAAAAAAGTTTGATTAACAATATTTGTTGATAGCCAATTAAAACCAATGTTAATTTAACTGAAGCAGTTAAAAGACCCATTTAACTTAATTTGAAATTTTATCAAGATGCTAAAATAAACATTACTTTATGGGCACACAAAACTGACACAAAGACCAGGTCAAATAATTTCATTTGTTCAGTTTATAAACATACATAAAGCACTTAATTCAGGAATGAAATAGCCTTCCAATAAAGCAATGTTTGACAATTGGGTAAGAGCATATCTTATGACGTATTGCCATTACAAGTTTTCCAAAATATAGAAAATGAGTTAACACCTCTGATGGGTTTATAGAGGAGGCAGCAAGGCAGAATGCAGCTAACAACTTGACTGGATTGGAAGATGAAGAAAATATTGCAACCATTATCTTGTGAATCAAGGCATTTGTAAGAGTAATGCATAGTATGTAGAGCAAATTTTAAATACTCATGGTTTCTCATGTCACAATATATCAATATGACTTTTTGTAATCTATCTGTACATTCCATTTAAATAATATTGTAAGCCTCTTGTTCTACTTTTAACAATTTCATATTCCAATTCTGAAGTTTCAATAAATTACATTTAGTTCTAGTTTCAAATAATACTGTAAATTGACTGGTTTGAAATTAGAGAAACATTTTCCCTAGGAAACAGATAATTCTAGGTCTAACTTGTAAATATTAGTTTTAATGGAAGAGCGTCATTAAAACTAGTTTCGACTAAATAATACAAGTTTTAATCAATTTGGGGATTTGATGACAACAGAAACATATACAGTAAAATCTGTCTTAGCCGGAATTGATCGGGACACAAAAAAATTCAGGTTTACGGAGGTTTCTGTTTTATGCAAGGTTGTCCATTTTATGACACTTGTGATATTGACATTTCTGCCCTGACAGTAGTAAATTATATTACTTATATTATATATATATATATATATATTATATTATATATATATATATATATAATATATTATATATATATATATATATATATATATTAATAAAAAATTAAGCATATAGCGGTTTTTATAAAGAAATCACTAATAAATGAATAGCTGAAAGCACTCTTCAGTTTGCAGCTTCTGGTGTGAGTCGAAAAATATACACCTTACTGGCTGTATCGGTCAGCTTGCTGACTCTCAACCCACAGTGCCATGAAACCCAACACTGTGACTTTTTGATACCCTCGCATGGCTTGAGCAATACATCTCTGGTCGAGGAGTTAATGTCTTTCAATGCAGGGGCCGTGAATATAAGGCCATGCTTTGTACAAATCCAATCTCAGAGAGTCGAAAAAGATGAATTCTACGGCGCTTTACAACTTTAAACAGTCAACGCGACCCAAGGCGGAATTCTACGTTGATAGCTAAGCCCCTCTCCTTCACGTCGGCTGCACGACTAAATCGCGTCGCAGGGACACATGATTTAAACAAACTTGTACACACATTAATTTAATTAAGATCTCGCGTCTGTCTGCCAATTGCATTAAATTCACCGGAATTCCGTTATATAAATATCCCTTGACAGAACATGAATAACGCTTTCGTTCTATGTTAAAGAGTTTTCCGTTTTATGCTGTGTAAAATGCCATTAATTTCAGCGGGCCTGCGAAATTTTGCCGCGTTAAGGTCAGGTTTCACGCTTTGTACAGAGGTTCCGGTTTGGACAGATTTTACTGTAGTACGTAAAGCATTATTGCCCCTACATCCTCTCGCATTTTACAAACCTACGTTTTCAGTATTAAGTATTTCTCTCCGTGTAAACCCAGCAACGGGGGAAAATTACTGTTCTAATAATTGAGTGTCACCGAACTCTCATGAACAAGTATATTTTTATTGTATCTCGTTGGCACTGTCTTCAATAAGAGAAATAATATGTCAAAAAGTTCAGAATTGAAACATACATTAACCACTGGTTCTTGCCTCTGGATGCTTTCTTCTAACAATCGCTTCTCTACTTTCCTGACCTTCGAGGGCTTGGTGTTGTGAATTGCGCCTGGCAACACTTGGTTCATCGGCATTAGTACTCGAACTACCTTCACTCCATCATCACGTGTTGTCGATAAGACCAACTGCCACACGCCGCCCACACAGCATTCCTTGCTTCTTTCTTCACAGATACAAACACAACTCCTAAAACAATAGAAAAATTAATTCCAACTTTAAAGGAATACTTCATTCGAAGTCTAAAAGTCAAAGGCTTGACAACTGTATGACTGAGGGAAGGACAGGTCTTCAGCTATCTGCATGACTAGAGTGATAGAAAATTTAATTCACCAAAGACCAGGACTCTATCTAGTCATCTCAGTATTTTACACGAAACATTTGTGCTTCTCAGAAAGAAGTACACGACGCAATGGGAAAAAGCAATCTTTTTCCCCACTTTAACATAGATAACGGCTTTGACCATTTCATAAAAAACATCATCACACAGAACCTGACGTGTGCAAACGGCTGGATACGGAAATCCTCTCCAGTCCTGGATCAAAGAGAATTTAAAACGAAAAAAGAAGAAACATAAGTTCAACGAATCACAATTAAGATAGGGTTGCCATACGTCTTGAAAAAGCGGGATACTTCCTGAATATTGACACGTGTCCCTGTTCCGCCGCCTTTTCCTTTGTTTTTCTGCTAAATGTCCTGAATTTTTATATTGTGACAATGGCCACACAGATCTGGGAGAAAACTGCGTTTGAGACCTAATTTGTGGAACTACATCACAAAACTATGCGCTATCACAGCAGAACGGCAAGCGGCTAATTCCTTGTTAGCAACTAGGTTATTTTTTGTCTTTTACGATGCCAATCTGAGTGCTGAAAAATAGACAAAAGACCAACCGTGTATGTTTTGAATCGGCTAGGTCGAATTCAGGTCGCTGCAGGACGAGAAGAGGCCGCTGCTCTTGATCGTAAGTGTTTCCATTGTTCTTCTGATCAACACAAACAGGTCACGGATTGCGCGCTGATCTCTCCTCCTCTTCCTTGTCATATCCTCAATTCACATTATACTTGGGTTCAAACATAATTACCCCTGATTAAATCCAGCAGTTGCGGTGTCATTCACTCAGGCGGGCTTTGAACGTCACCACAGTGGCCATCACTAGCGATGTGTTAAGCTCCCGATTGCATGACACCGTAAATGCTGACGACTTGCCAAGTGAAGTTCTACATAAATCGAAATAAAACATGCACTAACCATCACACATGCCGGGAGAACTGGCGGGAGCTTAGAAGCTTGTCCCGGCTAGGAACATGCGAAAAATAGGAAAGTGACGCGGATAACCTGGAAAGCCAGGGCTCCGTCCTAGAAAAAAAACTGTCTCTGTTCTTCTTGGCCATGTGCAATGTAAGTTTATCTTCATCTACAAATTAGTTGTTTACTTGATGTAACTATTTCCTTGTTATAAGGTTTGCTTTAAACTACTTGTATAAAAATAAACAATTTTGCTCTCAAAATATATTTCGGAATATCCTGAATTCCATTGTTATCCTTTATGCAACACTAAATTAAGAGCTCAACACCAATTGTACTTGGGTAGTAGCCAAAAGTCTCACATTAGCATCCCGTGTTTACACAAATATAAGACGAGGTTTTTGCCTAAATATCTCATTCGAAAATACGGGGCCGCCTTTTCCCCAGAATAAGCCCAGTCGGTACTGCGGGTCCCTGGATGGGGAACCGCCCCTGGAACCCCGAATACTAAGGCTGCTGAGCCCCTGTGCAAATAGGACAAATAGACCAATGACTACAACTTCACTTATGACTAACACAAGTTTGAGAATTAATCGACCATGAATTCAGCGGAATAAAAAACTACTTAGGAAAAATTTTCCAAACGTTGGTAAGCTTTGCTCACTCCAGGCTGGGACGGAAGCACAGATTCGCTATTTCAAAACTGAAATCTACGCGAATGTAAAGTTCACGTTGTCACAGAATCCAAGGCCATGAGCAAATGGGCGTTCAGAAACAACACCTGGTAAGGCAGAAGAGAATGTTTCTGAGGTGGCGTCGTATGAGACTAACGACGCAAAATCAACGAAGCAAAACTCTCAGGGGGGTGTGCGGGCAAATGTCAAGAGGACGCCTACGCTATGGAATAAAGAATCACAAAGAAACAATTATAAATGTGGGATGAAGACGGTAGTGATAAAAACAAAGATGATTTTAAGAACAAGAAATATAGCGTGGGCAAACGTTCCCATATTCTCATCATGACAATTTGCGTTTTTTTATTTCAACTGAACGGTAACGAATTTCAAAAAGAAAAGAAACAAAGGAAACAATTCAAAATTCTCATAAGGCCTCTTCATAATCAGGAGTCGTCTTATTTCCAGAAAAAATACAGTATTTCTTGTTGTATGCTGTTGACAAAACTAGGTCAATGATAGGGAAATTTAATATTTTTCAGTTTTCACTCAAAACTTCCAATGAGTATTATAAAAATAGGTTAATAGCAATCTCCTAATTCTTTTATTTCCTTTTTAATAAAAATTATGATTGGGTTCCTCCAGGATCCAGTATGTGCAGAGTGTTTTTAGGATATTTACAGATAACGAAAAAAATCTGTAAAGTTGAATGTTCAATTTAAAATGTTTTGTCATAATGAGTTCATTAAAACATATCGATGTTTTACGAAAGCTCAAATACTAACAAGAATTACAATAAACATATCTGCTCTGAACATTTCAAACCTTTGGCCTCGTTGCTTATAATTTTCATAACAATTTTTCCGATTTAATGAACTAATTCTTGATGAAATTCTACACCAAGTCTAAATTTTGATCTCCTGAATTATAAATAACTATGTATCATGAAGGATTTTCCAGGAAAAACATCAAAACATACCACATTAGATTGAAGTTGACTGAGGGCACTCTGATGAGATTTTCTGCACAAAATTGTTGATCTCATATTTGTTTCTTTTTAAATTTTACATTTTTAACTAAACATTTTACACATACATTCAATCAAAACCTGTAAATTAAAAGCAAAATACTAAGAAATAAATTTATGAACAAAAATCTCTAGCACACAAATGCACCATGTAAACTAAAAAACATAAATATAAATTTAAATAGGAAACGCTGATTAGACTGAAATAAATTCTGGAATCAGATTAGCAAGGCATAACCCAACTGGGTAGTAGTGTAACTCTCAGCATTTAGGACTATATTAACTAATAAGTTGATTATCAAGAATTGCAATTCTCCAATAATTATCAATACAAATTGGACAGATATGCATATTTCTTTAAATTTCTCCATTACAGACAAAGATATACAGATTAATATAACATTATACGAACATGGACAATTCAGCAAATTTCACAAAACAAATAAACAAAAAGAGCGCATGAAAAATAATAATCCACATGAAGAAAAAGAACACACATTTCCTAAGCATAATATAAATTTCCTATATGTAAGGTTGTTAGCTTTGACCAAGTGTCATACCACGCTTTCAGGAACCATAGATAAGGTACCGAAGTGGCAACATCACAGTACCTTCAATAGACCCAAAAAATATTCAACATATAATTTTGGCAAAGCCCTATAAACACAGACAAAGAGTAAATCTTTATTTTTTTTTTTTTTTTTTTCTTACTTTTTTATCTAAATTGTCTTTTATAAGTTCTTGTTGTCTGCTCTCAAGTTCCACGTCAACTTTTCTGGTATGCTGAAACTTTCTTTCTCCTAACAACTAGCAGTGAACGTCCAAACCTTTGCCATTCCCTGGCAAGCTTCTTCCCTTTCTGTCGATCATCAATCCAAGAAGCAACACAGCTCCCTTAATTCTGATTATCCATCACTCAATGCTGATTGGATTGCTTTAAAGCTCGAATTTCGACACACATAGTTTTGGATTCTTCTAGCAGCTTCACGATTAGTTTGACTCTGCTCAGATGCAACTCTAGCCAGTTTCATTTTCTGCTTACGAACAAATTTCAACATTTCAACAGGGCCTAGTTCTTCATCGCTCTCGTCACTATATCTTTGTGGTATTCCGCACTA